CTTGGATCTGTTCAGTTTAAGGTCTGATGGGACATCCCACTTCCACTTTTAGACTAATTTAATTGTCAAGAAGTTTTCTCCCACATCAGTCTTAATTCCACCTCTTTGTCACCTGTACTCCTCCAATCCCTTCATGCCTTTCAAATACTTGAAGAAAGCAATCATATCTTCATGTGTCATCCCCGGTGCCATCCCATCCCTAGCCTAAATGACCCTAGTTACATTCTTCCAGCAGCCCTGGTAGGTAAAAATAATAGGTAGCATTTTTATGTTCCGTTGAGCATACTCATTTGTTCCTATCAACAACTCAGTGGCTACTTTACAGATGAGGAAACTGAAGCACAGAGAGATCAAGCGACTTGTTCAGGTAAACATAGCTGATAAGTATCTAAAGGAGAATTCGGGACTCCAGAATTAGGGACTACCCGACCCTACCCATTGTTATCCTGTGGATATTATTATCCTCCTTTCCCACCACACCCTGTTCAGGGAGGGTTAACAAATTCTTTTACTTTTATAAAGGTTCCCTGGAAAAGAATGCCTTATTTTTAACTCCCTCTCATTTTCTTTTTAGACATTCTATTATTACATTTTACAAATGAGTAAACAGAGGTTCCAAATAGTTTTCCTTGAGTCATAAGGACAGGAAGTGTCGGAAGCTGGATTTGAACCTACGTCTACCCTACTCTAAGCCCAGGGCTCAAAATGCAGCACAGGCAGCCAAGTGACTCCAGAGTCGTGCAGGAATTGGGAAAGTAATGTAGGTTTCTTCGTGGGTTCCCCCCCTTTTTTTTCATATTTTTAAAATTTATTTTGATTTATCAACAATCACTTCCATATGCTTTTGAGTTTAAAATTTTTCTCCCCCTTCCTCCCCACCACCTTCCCCAAGATGGCGCATTAGTGATGTTGTAAGAATTAGAACCAATAGGAGGAAACACCAGGAAGAGGAAACAAAACTCAACAGAAGAAAAAAAAATGGCAAACAGTATGCTTTGATCTGCATTCAAACTTCCTAGTTCTTTCTCAGGATGTGGATAGCATTTTCCATCATGAGGCTTTAGAGATGTCTTAGATCCTTGCATTGCTGAGAAGGGCTAAGTCTGTCAATATTAGTCATCGCACAACGTGGCTGTAACTGTGTACAACGTTCTCCTGGTTCTGCTCACTTCACTCAGCATCAGACCATACAAGTCTTTCCAGGTTTTTCTGAAGTCTGCCTGCTCATCATTTCTTATAGCACAATAGTATTCCATTACATTCATATACCACAACTTGTTCAGCTATTTCCCAATTGATGGGCATCCTCTCATTTGAGGGCTCCCCCTTCTGACTATCTCGGGAATGACCTCGCTGGATTCAGTTTTCTGGTCACGTGTAGGCGCGGAACAGGCTCTAGCCAGACAAGCCGGCCCTCAAGGCAGGTGCACCCCCCTCCCACCCCACCCCGCCCCTGCCTGCCCGGTCCCGAGCGAGGACGAGACCAGATTGGTCGGTGCCTTGACCAATCAGAGAAAAGACTTGGAAGGCGGTGTTCCCTCCACCCACTTCTCCCGCCTAAGCTCCTGACCAATCGGCGAGCGTCGAGGGGCAGCGACCAATCAGCGGAGAGGGGCGTGGCTTTCTTCCAGTCGGGGTTCAGAGATTCTGTTAAAGGGCTTGAGGCTGGGAGGGAGGTGGAGGGGGATAAAGAGAGATAGGGGGGATGGGGTGAGCTAGGGAATGGACAATTCGAATCCGTTCTCCCTTCTACTTGCTGTGTGACCCCCCGAAGAATCAGTTCCACTCTTTGGGGAATCCCTTCTCTCCATCTATAAAATCAGGGGGTCTGACAGAGGTCCCTTCCAGCTGTGCCATACTGCGGTCCACTCTTGCTCAGGAACGTTCCATGGTTCCCCATTACCCGCAGCATCTCTCCAGGCACCTTTCCAAGCCACCATCCCTTCCTCCTTCACCCGTTCCCCGAAGCCCTCTTCGCCCCAGCAAGAGAAAACAATTCTTAGCATGCAGTACGTGCAGGTTTTAGAAGATATTTCAATAACTGGTTTCTTTGGTAATCCTGTGTATGTATTTAAGACAATTCTAAGAAGGGCCGACAACAGCAGGCAGCCAAAGAATACTAACAAGGTTAAGGACTCCTGGTCTAGAAGAGCCTGCGTCAGAGCAGGGTGGGATCCCAGAAGCTATCTCCTCATTTTACTCGCAAAGCACCCTAAAAATATTATCTCCCCCTTACCACAACTCCCAGGGATAGACGCTATCACTATCCCCAATTTACAGATTAGGAAACTGAGTGTAGTCCAGGGTCACACCGCTACTTAACGTCTGAGGTAGGTCCCGCCCTCTAGCCGCTGCGCTATGTAGCTACCCAGATCAGGAAACTGAGGCCCAGGGGCTCTGTGGCTTGACCCAGGACCCCCAGGTTTGACTCCAGAACCAATACTCTCATTCCATGGCATCCCCCTTTTCCCATTCCCTAGCTTCTCCCCACCTTGCTTCCTTCCCTTCCCCCCTCCGGGAAGCCCTTCTGGTCTCTCCCTACAAATCAATTCATAAGTTTTCTCTGGACCTTTACGTGCGCCTGTTTGCGTCTAGGCTCCAATGTAAGTCCTCGAAGGCAGGGGCTTTCTCAGGTTTGCCTTTGTCTCCCCAAGAGCCAGTCCAGTGGCAAGAACACTGACTTGTGGAGTGATTTACTGCTGGGTTGTGAGCTGCCTCAGAGCACGGGCTGTTTTTGCCTCGTTTTTTAGTGTCTCCAGCCCTTAACCCGGTGCTTGTCACATAGTAGCCGCTTAACGAATGTTGGTTGTTTGACTCACTGAACCACAGGGTCCAGACCACTTGAAGCTCAGGAGTGCAAGCATCTCTTCCGAGGGAGAAAGAAGCACCAGACTGAGTGGTCGTTGCAGGCTCCTGGCGGCTTCCTTCTCCGTCTCCCCCCCCCCCCCCAGCAGAGGGGCACAGAGAGGATGGGGCATGGCGAGTGGGGTGCGGGAGAGGGCGGAATGAGACCTTCGGGGCTCCCGGAGTGAAGAAGAGCTCTCTGAAGCCTCCTCTCTAGCTCGTCCCCCGTGCCTGGAATGGTCTCCCTTCTCATCTCCCCTCCCAGGGTCCTTGGCTAATACCCCCTTCCCTAGGAAACTTTTTTCCATCCCCCTTAATTCGGGCGCCTTCCCTCTGACATCTCCAATTTATCCAAACTATTTCTTGTTTGTACCTAATTGTTTGCATGTCATCTCTCCCTTTAGACTGTGAGCCCCCTGAGGGCCAAGACTGCATTTTGCCTTGTCTTTGCCTAGCACATAGTAGGTGCTTAATACATGTTTATTTATTGACTGACAGAATAGGAATGGTTAGCAGGAGCCAGGGGTGGAAGCCTCTGAAGGGAAGAGAGAGGGGTTCCAAAGCGTAAGGTAGGGGAGAAAAGTAGGGTTGGGAGCCCATAAGCCTGGGTGCCCAGCACGTTTTGGGGCTCTAAGGCAGCAGATCTAGATGTCTAGGTCCCTGGTGCAGGAGGGATCTGGGGGACCAGGACTCCTGGGTCCCTAAGGAGGCAGCGGCTGGGGACCCAGATGTCTGAGCCTTGGCAGGGGGGAGGGGTCTGGGATTTCAGCCTTCTGAATTCTGGAGCAGTAAGGAGTCCTGGGGCTTGGGAAGGGGCAGAGCCAGGCAGGAAGCCGCCTGGGGTGTTTACTTTGGCTGTGGGACAAGGGGCTGGACCAAGAGAGGACACAAGAGAGATTGATTGTTCATCCTGCAAACTCCCCACCCCCTTCTCAGGCTGGGAACTTGGGGACCTTCCGAGGACACACTCAGATCCCCCTCCGGGGGCCCCCTGCCCTTCCCGGAACCACACTGCTCTGTCCTCCTAGAGGGGGGAGGCCACAGCCCAACCCCCTCTCCCTTCTAAACAGAGCAGCCCGCCTGCAGGGATTTCTGGAGGAGAGGCTGGAGATTAATGTTAAGAGGATTAAGAGGAGAGAGAAATCTGGCTTCAGCTTGGGGAGAATGTGGAAAGCAGCCTAAATGAAGCCCACCCCCATCCAGAGACCCAGGAATCCTATTCCCTGGCATTGTCTAAGCAAGGGACCCAGGGATACTCTCGTCCAGAGACTTCTCCCTCAGGGATCCAGGGGTTCTGCACCCCAGCCACAGTATCCTGCCCCCAACCCTTCCCACTCCCTCCAGTAGCTATTAGGAATTTAGAAGCCCATTTTCCCCACCCAGAATTCGCAAGGACTAAAGTCTCAGGCATCTGGTTCCCCAGCTCCCACCTCAGCTAAGAACCAAGAGAAGCCAGGCCTCCTGTTCTGAGGCCCTTATGAATGCTAGTGTCCATCCCGCTATGTGCCTTAGGGACCAAGGCATTTGGGTCCTCACCTTCCAGGAGGCAGACTCCTCCAGGAAGCCTTCTCAGATCCCTCCAACTCAAAGTGTTCTCTCCCTTTCCAGATTTCTCTATAAGGCACTTGATCCAATTCTTTCCCACCCCTCTACCCTTCATCCACTCCCCCTTTCCCCCTTACTCCCCACTTAGCAGACTTATTTGTACACCTGGCACGTCCACGCCTCCTAGACTATAAGCTCCCCGAAAGTAGCATCTGTTTTACTGAGTTTTCCCACCATCATTGTCTCCACTGAGCTCTGGACATTCTCTTCCTTTCTGGCTGTGATTTCTTCAGCATGGGGAATTCCCAGCGTGGAGAGCTGGGTTTGAAATTTGGGATCAAATCCTGACTCTGGTTTTTGATGGGGCAGTCGCTCAAACTCTGTGCCTCAGTTTTCTCATCTTGTCGCTGCCAGCTCTAGGTCTATGAGTCTATTAAATTCCCTGCAGTCCACCTTGGCAGCTCTGTGACTGGTCTGTAACAAGAGGCTTTGGGACATAGAGATATCCTCCACCCTACTCCCAGACCCTACGATCCCAATTCTTCAGGGCTCAGAGATGCAGAGGTCCTGATGTCTCAGCCTCCTCGTCCCCACAACCCAGAAGAAGCTGCTTTGGTCTCTTTTATACAGTTTTATTAGAGGGGAGTCTGGGAGTGATGCCTCAGGCTGGACCTGCCTGGGTTGGAGATAAGGGGGAGCCAGCATTCATTAGCTCATTGTTCCCCTTTTAGCATGTGAAGGATCTGATCTGTCAGAATCCCAGTGTACGTGGTCATGGCCTCTGAGCCCTTGTCATAGACGTGCCTGTGGAGAAGAGAGGGGATGGGCTGAGGGATGGCCTGGGTCCCTCACAGGGGGTTTGAAGGAAGAAGAGACTGGGGGAAGGGGAGGGGAGGGAGAGGTAGGAGACTGGATGTCTGGGGTTCTCAAGGGGTAGTAGATTGGGGGGCTGGGAAATTGGGTGCCTGAGTCTCTGCAGGCGATGGAGGGCCTGAATACCGGGGTCTCTGAAGGGGTAGGGGATCTGGGGACAAGGAGACTGGCTGCTTGGAACTCTTCTAAAAGGAGAGGGAGCCTCCAGGCTGGTGACCTGGATGCCTGTATCCCTGGAGGGCTGGGGAACCAGAGGAGACGGGCCACCTGGGTGGCTGAAAGAGCGGAGAGGGCATCTTCGAAGCCTCGGTTGGGCTGGGTGAGGGGTGTGGTTACCTGATGTTCTCGTCAAGTCTGGGGACTTTCTCGTAGAGTTCGTGGGCCTTCGCTTTGGCAGACTCCCAGTAGTCAATGATATGGCTCTGGACCTTGCTCAGCAGGCCAGGGCTCTCCTCTCGTCGAAATCGGGGCCGGGCAGCCTGGGCTGCTGGGAGGAAAGATGCCAGTGGGGCTGGGGCCTGATGGCGTGGAGCCACCAGGTTAGTGAGAGAGCCAGGTCAAAGGAGAATTGGATGGAGACACAGGGACTGGGAATCAGGAGGCAATGAGAGGCGGGGAGGGGGAATTGAGGAAGGAGGAGGGTTAGGGACAAGGGCTACAGTGGAGTCAGGGGAGAGTTTGGGATGGGGAAAGGGAAAGAACTGGGCCGGGGGAGAACTGGAAAGAATTTCAGTTCAGGGGTGAAGCCGGGTCAGAGAGAACATTGAGGATGGGAGAAGCAGGGCCAGAGGAGACCTGAGAGTGCGCCCCTCCCTTGTTTTGTCCGCCCCACGCTGAGCCCTACTCACCTGAGGCCAGCGCCAGCAGCAGCAGCAAGAAGGTAAAGGTGGGGCGGGTCCTGGTACTCATGATGGCAGGGAAAACTGGGGGCGTCGGGACCAAATCAGAGGTTGGAGGAGGAGGGAGACCCCTGTTCAGCTGCCTGAGATCGTTTCACTCCCAAAGGATCGTTCTCCCCTCCTGTTCCCTATATCTCCCCTGAGTCCCTTCTGCCTCCCTCTCCTCCCTATCCCTAGAGTCCTCCGGCCATTCCCTTTCTCTTCCTTTCCCCTCAGGTCCCTGCTCTCCTTAATCTTTTCCTTGGCTTCTGGTTGGTTGCAAAGACCAGAGGCCTTCATTTAGAGAGAGCGAGTTCTTTTCTTGCCTCCAGGCATTGGCTAAATCCCTTTTCTCTACGGGCCTTAATTTCTCCCTACACTAAAAAGAGGGAATTAGATTTGATTATCCCTTAAAGTCACTTGTGGCTGGGACATTCTTTGTTCTGACTGTGGCTCTAGGCCCAATTAATTGACTATCCAAAGTTTCTGGCCAGAGTGAATCAGTTTCTCTCTCTAGTCCTCATCTGTAAAACTAGGGGGACCCAGAGTCCACAGTCTAGACCGTTCCCGATTGGATATCTAAGATCCGCTGCCCTCTACCCGTGTCCCCGACTCCCCCTTCTCCCCCACCCAAGCCAACCGGCAGACCCCAGGCCCTCACCTGAAGCCCCAGGTCTGTCTCTGATTATCAGCCCAGAACAAGGGTCAGGCCCTTTATAGGTAGCCAATGCCCCGTTTCCACCTCCCTACCACCCCCAAGCCCGGCTCAAAGTCCAGGCCAACACAACAGAGGGTTGTTGGGTTTGGGGGGTGGGGAGTGGGGGAAGACCCAAATCAAGGCAGCTCAGGGGGCCCTCCTCTTTCCCAGGAGCTGCTGGGGTCACTGAAGGACCGGGATACCCGGATAGTTGAGGGGATTCCCGGCCCCCAGTGGGGCGGGATTTTGGAATCCTCAGAGTGGTCTGGGGGAATGGACACCTGAGTTCTCGGAGGAAACGGTTAAGAGGCAACAAGTTAAAAGCATCTTGCTGACCAGAATCCTGTCCTGTCCCCTGGATCCCCAAGGTGTTCCTGTCAGCCCCACCACCACTACCGCCCACGTCTACCTGACTTCTCGGGGACACTGGGCTAGGGAGACCCTCCAGATACCCTGACCCATGCCCTCCCTTTCCTGATAGGGCACATTCTAGAACGAGGCATTGCTCAACTCCTTAGACCTTTATCAGTTAACTAGGTGGGGTGGGGTGGCTGGTGATGAGGAGGATACTGAGACACAGACAAAGAGAAAGAGGCTAGTCTTTATTGTGGACACCGACAGAGGCAGGATGCATTGTTTTACAGATAATTGCTAGTTATTGAATGTCCTAACTGTGAAAACCCTTCCAAAACAACATTATGGAACACAGAGCAAAGTATATTAGGGCAAAAAGGACCCTTAGGACAGAAAATGTCAGAGCTGGGAGGCAGCTTAGAACAGGGAATTTCAGGGCTGAGAGAGGTCTCAGAACAGGGAATGTGTGGACTGGGAGGGCTCTTAGAACAGAATATCAGAGCTAGAAGGGCCCTTGAAACAGAAAGTCAAATCTAGAAAGGGTTTCAGAACACAGAATGTCGGAGCTGGGAGGGAGCTTAGAACAGGGAATTTCAGGGCTGAGAGAGGTCTCAGATCAGGGAATGTGTGGACTGGGAGGGCTCTTAGAACAGAATATCAGAGCTAGAAGGGCTTGAAACAGAAAGTCAAATCTAGAAAGGGTTTCAGAACACAGAATGTCAGAGCTGGGAGGGAGCTTAGAACAGGGAATGTCAGAACAAAGAACATCCAGAAGTCCAACAATCACTAGATAATGGAGGAAATGGAAGCCTAGAGAAGGGAAGTCATTTGTTTGACTGTATGGCCGGTGTGACGAGAACTGGGGTTTCTTGCTTCTTAGCCTGTTGGTTCGAATCTTTTCCACAGAGTCTATTGGGGCAGAGACTTAGGGCTTTCTGCTGTGTAGTGTGGAGCCAGTTCTGGGCTCTGAGGCCCAGGCCACTGAGATGGTCTTCATAATAAGTCTGAAGATAGCCTTGGACAGGTCCTGGAGTCCTACGGATGTGGTAAGGAAGTCACCCCGGGGCCTACTCCCTTTAGCCCCCCCAGCCCACTTCGAGATCTGGATCCCCTAAGCCACCCTCTCTGGGATGTGAGGTGGGGGGCTGGGCCCCCTCCACCAACCTCCCTTAGGAACCTAGGTATCCAGGCCCCCCATTCCTGGAGTTCCCTCCTTCATTGACTGAAGCATCCAGTTTTCCCAGCCCTGATTCCATGAAAACCCTCTTAGAGGCCAAGGGCATTCTGACTCCCCAGGGATCCAGGCTTTCCCTTCTACCTTTAGTGAGAGACACGGGCCTTCTGATCTGTTAGGAGCCCAGGGGTTCCAGCGCACTCACCAGATCCAGTCCCAGCTCTCACTAGCCTTGGTCATCAGGGGCTCTACCATCTTCCAGAAGAAACGGGACACCTCCCAACCTTCCTTCCTGTCCTCCTCAGGTTGCTGGGTAATCAGCAATTCATCTTCGTGACCCACTGAAAATGGAGCTAACCGTGGGACCTCTGGTTATTACCCATGCGGGCAGCCTGTCCCTCCCTTCCCCCCCAACCTCCTTGTGGCACCCCAGAGCCTCCTCCCTACCCACCATCTTTTCTCTGAGCACTTCCTCTTAGGGGAGGTCACGAGCACTCATAGCCCTCAAGGCAAGTCAATGAGCATTTATTAAGCACCTACTGTGTACCAGGCCCGGTGCTAAGCCCTGGGGGTACATAGAAAGGCAGAAGGGAGCCCTTGCTCCCAAGGAGCTCACAAACTGCTGACCGAAGAAGGCACAACCAGTCCCAACGAGCTAAGCTACAGGTAGGATAAAGCGGAGGCAGCCAATGGATGAGGAGAGCAGCCCAGCAGCAAGAGATAGAAAGAGAAATTCCATGTAAAAGAACTGTGGACAATATAAAATACTTGTCTGCCAAGACAAACCCGGGAACTATATAAACACAATTATAAAACATTTTTCACACAAATGAAGTCAGATTAAACAACCGGAAAAATACCAATTGCTCATGGGTAGGCCAAGCCAACATAATAGAAATATGACAATTCTGCGGATGAGGATAGCACCCTGCGAAGGGGAAAGATTTGACCGTGGTCACACAGGTCCTAAATGTCAGAGGCAGGATTTGAACTCAACTCCTCCTGACTCAGTGCTCAGTGTTCTCTCTCTGCTCCCTTAGTTTATTTATAGACCAGCCAAGTAAGCTAAACACACATTCACCGCACACTTGCACACGTGAGATCATACATACATGGACGTACGCACATAGATCTGGGTGAGTACAGGTGCCCACCTACTCATTTACCCCCAAAACCTTACCTGTGGCCCAGGCCAGGACCAGAACCCAGAGCAGAATGGGGGGCCCCCTGGTGCAGGTCAATCGAGGGAAAAACATTTCTAGGGGCTTTGAATCTTTCAGCGGCTGGGTTCCTCAGAGAGGAAGCGAGGGTGTATGTGGGGGGGACATGCTTAGTGGGCCCCTCCCCCAGGGCTCAGGACCGCCCCTTGGCACTGGCTGCCACCAGCCTGTCCCTCTCGGTGTCTCACCTCTGTCCTCATCCTCTCTCTGGCCCCCCTGTCGTCAGCACGGTCTTTCCTTCTCATCCGCCCTGCACCTGGCCCAGCTTGACATCCCATCGCTACCCTGCCTGACTTCTCGAGAGACCCTGGGCCTTGGGTCAGGATCTCACTGGGGAAAGAAACTGGTTTGATTCCATTATCTGAGGCTTCCCTGGCTTTTCTGCTTCACTTTAGTGTCTGATTTCTCTCCCTTTAGCCCAAGCTTGCAAAGAAGGGAAGAGCTGATTGCAGACTTAGATAAAATCATTCTCTGGTCAAGGGTTGCAAAGATCTGGGGGCTAGTTCCCTCTCTGGGCCTTGCTTTAATTATCTGTAAAATGACAAGACAGCCTAGAAGTTATTAAAGGTCCCCCCGCACCCCTCTCCCCCCCAGCTCTGAGGTCCCTTCCAGCTCTGATATTCTTGGACCCTTCCCATGACACAGTCCCTAGCCTTTGGTCTCATCCCAAGGACAGGGGGAGGGACCAGGCAGGCCAGTGATCCCCTGCCCAGGGCCCAAGGCCAGAGTGTGGACAGCAGGATCTGTGATGTTTGTGAAGGTCATCCTCTGTCCACAAACTCCCTGTCCCCTACTCCCTTCTCTGACTCAGAGACATGGAGGGAAGAGAACAGGTCACAGAATCGGGGTCATCCTGACATTCTGTGTCCCAACCCTGACATTCTATGTTCTAAGGTCCCTCCCACTTCCACATTCCATGTTCTGTTCCTCCCAGCACTAGGTCCCACCTAGTTCTGATGTTCTATGTTCTAAGCTCTGAGGTTCCTCTTAACTCTGATGTCCTATGTTCCAAGGTCTCTTCCAGCTTTGACATTCTCTTTTCTATGTCCTGAGGGCCTATGGCATCCTATGGTAGTTAACGGCAGGGACACTGGGGAGGATTAAATTCTGAGGAGGGGGGTCCAACGGAGGCCAGGAGGTTATTGGAGAGAAAGAGGAGGGAGAGTTGGTGTAGACAGGGAGGGGGACAGGAGTCAAATAGGAATAGAGAGGTCCTGAGGGGGGAGTCGGGGTGACTGAGGCCCAAGAAAGAAGATGGTGCTGACGTAGAATTGTCTGGGAAGGGGGGAGAGGAGAGAGAAGCTCCCCTGGGCCCTCCCCCCAAAAAGGACAGAGCATTAGATGAAGAGGCTGGACTACATGGCCACTGGGGACCCTTCTCCTCGGTCTGCGATCCTGAGAATGATGGTCCTGAGAGAGGAAGAGCACATGAGCACCCCGGGGGGTGGGGTGGGTACACGGACACTGGTGTGTATGTCTGTGGGGTCAAGAGCCTTAGATCTGCTTTGGGGAAGGGAAGGATAGGGGAGGGACTGTCTCAGCAGAGGGAGTGAGTCGGGGCTGAGCTAAGACAGGTCACTTCTCAGGACACACACTGTGTCACCAGGTTATTCTGGGAAAGTGAAACTGATTCTGAGACTCCACCTTGCTGGGAATGCTCCCTCTTTCCCTGACCTAGGAGCCCAGGCTCCTTGATCCCCTGGAGTAGGACAGGAGGGCTCAGGGGGTGAGTGTATCTCATCTCTCTTCTCCTGGGAAGCATCCTGGGGGGCTGGGGTGGGGCGGGGTGTGGAAGGGGATCTGACCACTCTCTCCTCCTGCCCCTTTAAGGGTATGCTGACCTGGAGGGAGCAGACTTTCAGCCCCTGGTGGGTGGGATGTGGGCAGGGGAAGGGAAGGTTCTCTAAGTCAGGTGCACCTGAAGGGGAAGGCCAGTAGAGAGAAAGCCAACTGAGAGATGCAGGGGTAAAGGGACGGGGAGGGGAGAGCTGCCTTTCACTACCTGAAAGGATTTCCTGTAAAAGACAAACGAGATCTGTTATTCATGGGCTCAAAGGATAGAACTAGGAAGGAATTTTTAAAAGCACTGAGGTGGTGGTGAGAATATAGGAGGAGGGACAGCTAGGTGACAGAGTGGATAGAGCACTGGCCCTGAAGTCAGGAGGACTTGAGTTCAAATCCGGCCCCAGACCAAACACTTACTAGCTGTGTGACCCTGGGCAAGTCACTTAACCCCAATTGCCTTTAAAAAAAAAGAGAGAGAATATAGGAGGGAGTGAGATCCCCCATCTTTAGGAGACTTCAAGCTGAAGAGACACTCTCCTTCTTTAAAAAATTATTTTTATTTTATTTTCAGTTCCAAAGCTTCTCTCCCTTCCACCGCCCACTGGGAAGGCAAGAAAAACAAAACTCATTACACATATGAATAACTATACAAAACAGATTCCCACATTGGATATATTCATATTAAAAAAAAATAGAAGAAAGTCTGCTTCAGTCTGTACTCTGAGTCCATCAGCCCTGTCTCTGGAGATGCATAGCGTGTTTCAGCATGAGTCCTTCAGAACTGTGAGGGTCACTGTGTCGATCAGAGTTACTACGTTTCACAGCTGATTATCTTTGCATGGTTGCTGTTACTGTAGACCGTTCTGGTTCAGCTCCCTTCACTTTGCATCAGTTCATACAAGTCTTCCCAGGTTTTTCTGAAACCATCCCCTTCATCATTTCTTACAGAAAAATAGCATACCATCACTTTCATGTACCACAACTTGTCCAGTCATTCCCTAATTGATGGGTATTCCCCTCAGTTTCTAGTTCTTTGCTGCCACCAAATATTTTTGTACATATTAGTCCTTTCCTCTTTCTTTGATCTATTAGGGGTATAGCCCTAATAGTAATATCTCTGGGACAAAGGAAATATGCAAAGTTGAATAGCTTTGGGGGGGACAGTTCCCAATACTTTCCAGAATGATTGGACTAGTTCACAACTCTACCAACAATGTATGAGTGTTTCAGTTTTTCCACAGCCCCTCCAGTATTTGTCATTTCCCAATTTTTTTGTCTTCTTAGCTCAGAGTTATTTTAATTTGTATTTTGTCTAATTATTAGTGATTTAGAGCATTTTAAAACTTGGATTTCATCTTCTGAAAACTGCCTATTCATGTCCTTTGATCACATATCAATTAGATAATGTTTTCAAAGGTTACTTTTCAAAGCAATTCAGTCAGTCAGTCACTCAACAAGTATTTATTAAGTGGCTACTATGTCCCAGGCATTCATTAAAGACCAGCTGTATGCAGAATCTTCTGCCAAGCTCTGGAGGAGCTACTTATCTAGGATGTTTTGTTTTGTTTTGTTTGTTATAATTTTTTTTTTGATTAGGCAATGGGGTTAAGTGACTTGCCCAGGATTACACAGTTAGTGAGCGTTATGTGTCTGAGGCTGGATTTGAACTCAGGTCCTACTGAATCCAGGGCCAGCTCTCTATCCACTGCACCACCTAGCTGCCCCCTTTTCTAGGATGTTGGGAAAAGTCAGGATGGGGTAGATGATCTCTGAGACTCTTGGGATTTTCTGACTTGCCAGCACCCAGGCATGGAAATAGCAGCAGCAGCAGAAGTAGAGGGAGGGAGGCAGTGCAATGGATAGCCTGAGTTCAAATCCAGCTTCAAATATGGCACTTACTAGCTGTGTGACCTTAGGCAAGTCACTTAACCCCAACTGCCTTGCCAAAAGAAGAAGAAGAAGAAGAAGAAAAAGAAGAAGAAGAAGAAGAAGGAGGAGGAGGAGGAGGAGGAGGAGGAGGAAGAGGAAGAGGAAGAGGAAGAGGAAGAGGAAGAGGAAAGAGAAGGAGAAGGAGAAGGAGAAGAAGGAGAAGGAGAAGGAGAAGGAGAAGGAGAAGGAGAAGGAGAAGAAGAAAGAAGAAGAAGAAGGAGAAGGAGGAGAAGGAGAAGGAGGAGGAGGAGGAGGAGGAAGAGGAAGAGGAAGAGGAGGAAGAGGAAGAGGAAGAGGAGGAAGGAAGGAAGGAAGGAAGAAGAAGAAGAAGAAGAAGAAGAAGAAGAAGAAGAAGAAGAAGAAGAAGAAGAAGAAGAAGAAGAAGAAGAAGAAGTAGTAGTAGTAGAGGGAGGGTCAGGGAGCTGGGCAGTCAGGGGCTCCTCTGAGCCCTGCCAGGCCCCTAATTGGTCAGCGGCTGTCCCAGGCTGGATCTCCTGACCCAATTTACTCCAGGTCAGTCTTTGCTAAGACTGCACACAGTCTTGACTGTGGACCACAATGAAGCAGGGATTGGGGGAGGGAGGAGCAGAAAGAGGAAGATGCTTTAAATGTAGCTGGAGCCAGGACTTCTTCACTGAGGTCCTAAGCAACAAAAGGAAGAGGAATGAGGGGAAGATACCAGGAGGCAGATTTAACATGTGTATATATATACACACGCACACACATACATATGTGTATATATATATATATATGGAAAAACTTCCCAGTACTAATATTAACACAAATAACTAACAACTACTCACACTTCATAGCTTTGCAAGATGCCTTCTTTCCAACAACCTATGAGGAAGGTATTGTTTTCCTTTTATTTTACAGATGGGGAAACTGAGGCCCAGAGAGGTTAAGTGATTCACTTAAGGTGACACAGATACTAACAAGTCATATTTCAATAGTGCTCTAAGGTCTGCAAAGCACTTTCTTCCCAACTACTCTGTAAGTCCCACAATGTAAGCATTGTTGTTCCCATTTTACAGGTGAGGAAATGGAGGTTCAGAGGCTAAGTGACTTGACCAGGGTCACATAGCTAAAAAAGGTTTTGTGGAGGTGAGTTGGAATTAAAGTTTCCTGACTACAAGTCCAATGCCATCTCTACACCATGTGAGAGGGGGGAAATCCCTGGTTCCGAAGTCAGAAGACCTGAGTTCAAATCTTGCCTCTGGGAAACATTTGAGTGCCTCAGGCCTCAGTTTCCTTAGCTGCAAAATGAGAGTTAGACTATTATGGCCTCAGAGGTCCCTTCTAGCTCTCAATCTACGACCGCTTCTTGCTGCTCATTCCTAACGATGAGAATTGCCCCAAAGTGGAAAATCCTTCCTCTAGAGGTAGAGAACTCTTCATCCCTGGAGGTCTTCAAG